AAGAGTGTGAGAGGGGTAAGTGTAGGAAATTTGGGAGGAGAATGGAGAGGTAAGACACTTGTGGGACACAGATAAGGTTTATTATCTGTTGAGGAGGATGTTTATGGTGGTCTCAACTGGGCTGGGCTGAGGTCTATATCATGCCGGGTAAAGTCTCTTCACAATCTAAATGATGTATAGCGATTTAATGTATGAATTATATATATACATACACACACACACACACACACACACAAACATACAAATATAAAATAAATGGATAAATATTGTGACCCTCAAGTATGTATGGAAGCTTACTAAGATAGTCTTCTTTACAAAATAGGAACATAATAATAAATAATAAATTTCTATAGCAGGTGATAGCTGTTTATTTGCCATCTATACTGAATCCATGTGTTAGGAATAACTAAACATTTTAAGGTATAAAATAGTACAGCAAAGTGTACAGAAGAACACACTTATTTCATCCGTTTAATCACCATTTATCTTAAAGTATCCTAGTTAGTGTTCTATAGAGCTGTCCTAATGACGTTTCCTAGTCGTCATCTACTCCTTCCATCAGGGGTAACCACTATTCTTTCTTCTCTCATCATAGATTAGTTTTGTTTTTGAATTTTATACAAAATCACTAATTATGTAATCTTTTGTGTCTGACTTCCACTAAATATTCCACTTATGAGACTCAGCCTTACTATTTCATGTAAGCAGTATTTTATTCTTTTTCATTGCTATATAGTAACCTGTTGAATGAATATACCATACTTTACTTATCTATTCTATCCTTGATGAACATTTGAGTTGTTTTTAATATTGCGTTATTCCAAATAATGTTGCTGTGAACATTCTTGTAGATGTCTTTTGGTGCACAATATGCCAGTGTGTCCTAAAAATGTTATTTTTACCAGCTTTGTGGCACTGAGACAAATTGTGATTTACTGGATAGTTTAAAATCAAAAAACATCAATTTAGCATCCATAATGTAACCAATATTAGAAATGTTGAAATTCATCTACCAAGAACACCAGAGAAACTATTGATCACACAAGGCTGTGATTGTTTCAACTTAATTATTTGGGAAAAATGGTATCATTAGTGAAAAGAAGCCATGGTTAAATGTTCTAGAAATTAGTGTGTTGTACACTTTCAGTGGGTGAATTTTATGTGTATATCATATTTCCATAAAGCTATTTGAAGAAAACAGAAGCACAAACTTTTTTGTTTTTAAAGATTTGTTATAAGGCTTGTGTACATGTCTGGGAGAGAGAGAAAAAAAAATAAAAAAGCACCCTCCTGGGGGGATGGCCACACCGCAGTTCATTCTTCTCTTGGGATCTTGGGCATGCATGCACATGCACCTGCTGTGAGTTTAGGTCTGGGACTCAGACTGTGGTTGACTACGTGGGAGTCCAGCAACGTAACCATTATGCCTTCTGCTCTCCCCAGAACACAAGAAGTTTTAGTTCAAAGTTCAGAGACTAAAATTCTAGGCCTACCACGTCTCTAAATTAACTATTTTAGCCAGTAAATATTTGAGAACTTGTTAGTGCAGGAAATCAACTAGTAGATTCGACCAGTATGGGCCTAATACTCATAGATATTGGTAGGAAAGAAAAGAGTTCATATGCTTTAGAGCAGAGAACTGCAGAAATGCACAGAAACCATATAAAAGAATTTTTGTCTTTTTCCTTAGAGCAGTGGAAGAACAGTGAGCTTTAAGAGTAGGGAATGGTGACATGTTTGTGTCTTGGAAATTTGACTATCATTGCATTGAATAATCCGAATTAAAGATGTCCAAGGTGGGAAAATGCTCTTCACATGAAAAGGTTCTAATCTTGGTGAGTGATTATGGAATTTGAGACTAGTGAGGAAAAATGAGGGATCAAATAACCCATAGGTTTTTGGAGTCCAGAACTTGAGAAAAAGAAAGTATCTTTGTAAACAGCTTTGTATAATTTTAGGGTAGGGTGTTCCATATTCCATAGTAACCCTAATTTTAAAATTTATTTTTAGAGATTTTTGCTGTAGGATGTGTGCACTCACTGGAGACAGAGAGAAAGTGAGAAATCACCCCCCTAGGGAAGATGGCCACACCACAATTCTTTCTCCTCCATTCTCCTCTTGGGATTTTGGGCATGCATACACATACATCCTGTAAGTTTGAAGCCACTTGGTCCAGGACGTGAACTGCAGTTGGACATGTGAAAGTCCAGTGCCTTAACCACTATGCCACCTCTTACCCCCACTTAACTTATTATTTTTAACATTTTTTATTGTTATTTTTAAGTTTGCTGTAAGCCACATGCACTTGAGAGAGAGAGGGAAAGTGAGAAAGCGAGCTCTAGGTCCAGGACTCGAACCATAGTTGACCATGTGAGAGTTCAGTACCTCAACCACCATACCATCTGCTTGCTCCCCCCAACTTATTTTTTAAAATAGTGTAAACTGCAGTAAATTAGAGTGGAAGAACAAACATATTTCCATATTAATGTACTAGTTGGGATTACAGTCTTTACTGCTACCTTTTTAAAATTTACCTATTTAATTTGTTATAATAAAATGAAGCTGAAGATACTTAAAACTTCAGTAACTTGAGATGCAATATGTTTTATATTTTGCTTTTGTTTCAGCAACTGATTTTATTTTATTTCTTCTCAGTATTTGATTTTCATCAAGCAGCTGATGGTATCCAGGAACAACAAAGACAAGAACAAGCAGGGAAAAAGTATGATTTATTTATTCATTTACTGATTTATTTTTGAATAGTTTAAGCATATGCAGAAACTTTCATTTAAGTAGGCCAGAAGTTTAAGAAAATGAGTTTTAGGCTATTCTGTTTGGATTTCAGGAAAAAATGAATAGGATTATGAAAAACTCATAAAATAGTATAAACCAAGAATAGTCCTATGTAACTTCACTTTATACAATGATCTGATTAGAAAACCTAACTCTTTCTCATCTAACTCTAAGTTTGTTTTGATTTGTTTTGAAGTTTGGGTACCACAAAAAAGGGCATTGGCCCAGTTTATTCTTCTAAAGCTGCTCGGAGTGGACTTAGGATGTGCGATCTTGTTTCTGACTTCGATGGCTTCTCTGAGAGGTAATTAATGTGTATTTCAAAAATAAGAAAAAATACCAGATTTTTAGAATTTTTAAAACCCAATGTGCAAAATGGTAAAAATTAGTATTTTAGTTAAATAGTGGTGGTTGGCTTTTTCTTTCTTGAAATAGTTATTTTTGTTTTGTTTTGCTTTGTTTTTGAGAGGTTTTTGCTATAGAGCATGTGCACTCTCCAGAAAGACAGAGAGAGACAGAGACAGACAGAAAGCAAGAAATCACTTCTCAGGGGAATGGCCAAGACAGACAGAAAACGAGAAATCACCTCTCAGGGGAATGGCCACGCCACAATTACTTCTCCATTCTCCTCTCGGGATCTTAGGCACGCACGTACACATGCCTGGCATGAGTTCAAGCCACCGGGTCTGGGACTCGAACCGTGGTCTACTACATGGGAGTCCAGCGACATAGCCATTACGCCATCTGCTGGTCCCAAAATAATTAGTTATTTTTATTACAAGCTAATTGGTCCTTAATTTCAGATTAACTTCATGAAAAATTGCGTGTCGATGATAAAATAGTAGTATCTCAAAAAGACAAAGCCAAAATTATATTTAAGTATTGGAGTTTGGAATGATTTGCTGAGAAATAAAATGTTTTTAGGGGATATGACAGTATTTTGATGTGGCTGCCATGGTTTAGGACCTTGATCTTTGGATTTGTAGGCCCAAGGACTCCCATTTTGTCCTTCTATCCACACATAGCCTCTCAGGCACTAGTGAGTTATTGTGTACTAAGCTTGCCTTGAAAAATACTATAGAATTGCCACATTGATGTATACTCTCTGGAAAAGTTCTCACACCTGAAAATGGTCAAAAATCTATTCAGGGGCTGGCTCTGTGGTAATGCAATAATCCAGTCATACACTGCTCAGTGGAAGCTGGGTCCCACATGTTGACTGGCTCGAATATCTAGTGCCATCCATGTGAAACTTGCCAAGCCTGAGCACAAGTGCCCAAGTTCCAACAGACTAGAGGACTAGAGGAAGGGATCACAGTGTGACAAGGCCCTGTGCAGGGAACTTATCTGTCTCTGTTTCTCTCTTACTCTCACATGTGCACACACATGCTCTTACCATGAATAAAAAGAAAAATGGCTAAATAAGTGACTCTGTGATGGGGAATTGATTGTGTTTAATAATAAATGGCACTGAAACTAATGGCATACTCTATCCCCTTTCAGTCAGTTTATATTTTATCTGCACTGGCAGGACACCTCTAGTGAAGAATATTAGAGACAAATTGCCACTGTATACCTCTGTTCTCTTTTAAGACATCATGGTGACCATCCTCTTGTGTTTTTTACACTCTGAAATGCAGTTGAGATTTAAGTCTTTTGTGTTTACAGCTTTGTTACTCCATTCCCTCTCCTTCCCAACAGACACATCACCTTAATTGTTGATGTTCCTAAACTTTAATAAAAAGTAGTTAGAATGTATCATTTGTTCATAGAGCTGATCTCCTTTATTAAATATCATTTTTCAGAACTTAATTTCAGTTTGGGGATTAATTTGCTACAGAAATCATTTGAATTGCATGATATTTGAAATATGGTTTTAAAGAGAGCTAATGTCTTCATTTATCTTTATTTCTCAGGTTCAAAGTTCTTGCTAACCAATATAAATCTATATATCCCACTTTGGAAATAGACATTGAAGGTGAATTACAAAAACTCAAGGTAATACTTTCTGACCTCTTTAATGTCCTTTTAAACCTTGTTTGCCAAATTGGCATCTAGATCATTCATTTATTCAGGCTTTGTGTAAGAATTAGTCAAGGTTGTTCTGATATAGCATGTTTGAATAACTTTACATGATAAGGCTTAGGCAAAATAAAGGGTAGGAAGCAAGAGTAGTACCTGAAGATAAAATTAGACTGATAAGAACTGGATCATAGGGCTTATATACAATGAGAGAGAATGTGGCTTTTTTGTCCTAGAGATAGTGAAAGGCTATTCGATAATTTTGAGCAGAATGAAGATTAGATTCTTGCATTTTATAAAAATCACTCATAGCAATTGGAGGACAGGTCAACAAAGAGATTGAGTAAAAGGAGGTAACTTTTAAAGCTAACTAGCCATTCAGGAATGATACATTATAGGATCCATTTCTTTAGCATTATACTCTTAAGAGACAAATAAGGTAATTGGTCAAAGATTAGGCCCATAGCTGGCAACTCTCAGGTGTCAGTAGTGCCTAAGTTAGTCATCAGGTTGAGTGTCTTCTGCCCTCCTATTTCCCCAGTCTTTGGTGAATTTTATAGTGTTTCTTGCTTATCCTTATCAGTAAATATCAGCATCAATTGCAGAATTGAGTAGGAATCCAGAAACCTCAGATGTTACCCAGAATAGTTCCAGACCATATATCTGACTACTCATTAGTTAAAAGAAAAAAATGACCTCCAAGGAACATTCTAAATGTTTAGTTTTTGTATTTTATTTAGTACATTGATTGCTGCTTAGAGTAGGATTTCATTGTTTCTGTAAATGTTTTTGGAGCTTAGTCTTTTTTGGTCCTGAAGAATCAGCATGAGAGATCAAAGCTAATCCAAATGTTGAATAGGATGAGCACTATTACCAACCTCTTCTTTGCATTTGTCAGTTTTGACTCTCAGAAATTCAGGTAATTTATACTTTACTGGTTATATTGTAAATTTATTGGTATACCTGGAAATTGGTTTTTGTCTCTGTGTGTAGGGTTATATGGAAAGAATTAAGCCAATGGTGAGAGATGGAGTTTATTTTCTATATGAGGCCCTACATGGACCACCAAAGAAAATCCTGGTAGAAGGTGCAAATGCAGCACTTCTAGATATTGATTTTGGTAAGTAAAATATGATTTAAGAGAAGCTTTACTGAGCCCAAAGTACTTAAGGATATAAATAATTAATGTTAGCATTAAAGAGAATTTTTGTTTGTTTGTTTTGCCATAGGGCACATACACTCCCCAGAGAGAGACAGGCAGTAAGAGGGAAAATGAGAAATCACCTCCATGCCACCACCAAGGGGTATGGCCATGCTGCAATTCCTTTTCCTTCCTTCTCCTCCTAGGATTTTGGGCATGCACACACATATGCCTGGCTTGATTTTCAAGCTACCAGGTCTGGGACTCACCTTGGTTGGCCCTGTGGGTGTCCAGCTCCTTAACCAGCACACCACCTGCTGGCCCCAATATTAAAGAGCTTTAAACAAGGTTTTTCACTTTTGTATTAAGTATTGATAGAAATTTGTCATCCTATGCCACTCTTTTTTTAAAGGAATATTGTGGAAAACACAGTACATGTGTTAGATTTTCTAATTCACTAGTAAAATGTATTTATTATTTGGATTAAGTATGTTTGGGATTCTATAAATTGTGCTTTTTATTGTTTGGTTCATAACTAAATTCCAGTCCTCTTTTTCCTGAAACTGTAAGATAAGATAAACCCTGTGAATGAATGTTCATCTTTCATTCAGTCTTTTAATATATATATATTATATATATATATATATATTCACATCATTTTTAAGCATGCATGTTCTTTATTATTTCTATCTATGAAAGTCCATGTGCATTAATTCCTTGGACATGAGACTCTGGGTGCATTCAGAACATTTCTTTCATCTTCAAAAAGTTGATACTACTTTAAACTATTACCTAATTATTTTTGGCTGTTACATTAAATGTGATTTCTCATGGTTAGTCTTATTCTTAGCTTATTGGAATTTCATTGGCTTTTCACTCCAGTAAAACAACTAAAGAATTTCTGGGACCAGTAGTTGGCATAATGGCTATGTCACTGGACTCCCATGTAGTCAGCTGTGGTTCAAGTCCCAGACCCAGTGGCTTAAACTCACGCTGGGCGCATGAGCCTGTGTGCCCGCCCAAGATCCCAAGAGGAGAATGGAGGAGAAAGGCCACATGGCCATCCTCCCCCCTGGAGGGGGGGGTTGATTTCTCACTTTGTCTCTCTCTGTCTTTCTGGTGAGTGCATGCACCCTATAGCAAAAACCTCCCCACAAAAAAGAATTTCTATATGGTAGATAAGTATTGAATACTTTGGAAAGAAAGTAGAGTACCTAATTCAAAGAGGGAACAGTTTAGTATGAAGGGGAGGAAAAGTATACCAATTTTTTTTTTTTTTGGAAGGTTTTTGCCACAGGGCACGTGTACTTGCCAGACAGACAGAGAGAGACAGAAAGTGAGAAATTACTCCCCAGGGTGAATGGCCACACCACAATCCCTTCTCCTCCATTGTCCTCTCAGGATCTTGGGCACGCACGCACACAGGCCCGGCGTGAGTTTTAAGCTACCAGGTCTGGGACACGAACCGCGGTCAACTACATGGGAGTCCAACAACATAGCCATTACGCTAACTGCTGGTCCCAAGTATACCAATTCTTAACTTACTCTTGTATGTTGGGATTATTATCTAAATAGATAAAACTGAGGAAATGTTGAATTCCACAAACTCTTGGTGTATTACTTTCCCTTCAGGTTAGTGCCTTAAATATTTATATATCAGAGAGACATATTTGTTTTAAACTAACAGGAGAATGTAAGATGGATCTGACATTAAATTCTTTCATAGTCTGTTAAGTGGGGTGCCTAACATACAGAGCTGAGTCAGTACCTGTGTGTGTAGTCAAAGAACCTCTCCTGTATAAGCACTGTAACCAACTATATTTTTATCCCATTATAGACAAAAGAATCATTGAGGCTTTGAGAGGGTGATTACAATCTGTCACATATTCAGAATATGCTCACATGGAGAACTTTTAATGGTAATTTGGTTTTTAAAGTGTATTTTAATGTTTGTTTCTATTTTTAGGGACCTATCCTTTTGTAACTTCTTCAAACTGTACCGTGGGAGGTGTTTGTACAGGTTTGGGTATGCCACCTCAAAATGTCGGAGAAGTATATGGAGTTGTGAAAGCTTACACAACTAGAGTTGGCATTGGTGCCTTTCCTACAGAGCAAGACAATGTAAGGCTATTTCTCAGTGAGTCTGATTTGAAAAAGTTTTGGAATAAAAGTTCATTTTCTTATTCTTTAATGAATTTTTGTCAAATCCTATGCTTTTTCCTTTATTTGCAAGATTGATCAAAGCAACATTTAAAAATAAATATATAATTAAAATGATGCCAGGATATGAGAGGTAATGTGAAGGAGATCTTGGATAGGAAGAACTTGAATCTTTCATATTATTTTTTATTTTAATTTTCTTTTCTATAAAAGGGCATTTTGGTTATTGTGTTTATCTTAATGGTTTTCAGGGAAAAAATTCAAACTGCAATCATTGGAACAATTGGCTAGAATCACCTATTTTAAAAAATACTTGTTAATGACTTGTTTTAAACAGGTTGCATTTATTTTTAATTTTTTCATTTGTCGATTTAAATCATCTACCTAACATCATTAAAAATATTTGTTATAAGACATAAAATGAAGCCAAAAGTGGATCTTTTTCAAATAATTCCTCTTTCAGATAAAGCTTGTCATCACTATGAAATTCTTTTTTGTGTTTTTTTTTTTTTTTTTTTTTTTTGGGGGGGTTT